GGGACATGGGGTGGCGTACTTCCCAGTAGCAGTCATATGAACGGAGGTTAAAACAACGGCTTTCCTAAAAGCTTTATCCATAATGTTGATCATATAAAACAGGACCAAGTAAAAAGTATTGAGATCGATATAATTTAAAAGGCAGATACTACTGTTTCATCAACACCTTTAAGACCTGATCTAACCATGAATGACGTTAAACCTCATCGCATAGCTTGTTAGTAACCTAATTAAATTAGGATAAGTAGGCACAAAGTAGATTTAACCTAATTGTGGAATAATACAATGGATTTGCAAGTGGTGCGGCGTTGCAGCAAGCTGGTTTAAAAACATCTATTCAAGTCTGCCCATATTAAAATCATTAGAAGACTTACTTTAAATAATTCGTGGTTGCCAGTTTTTTTCCATCATCATTTTCTTAAATAAAGAAGAAAAGAAGTTTTGTACCTGCATGACAAAACTAAGTTATGTTAAGAATTTATTTCCATTGACATAACTTGAACTGAACTCTGGAGCTCAGCTAAACGTTCTTTGTTAATATTCCCATTAGGTGCAGAAATCCTTTATTCACTTTTGGTCGTTTCTTCATATATCGAATAATTTTTCCGTTATCTTTTAGTGTTCGAGGTTTTTCTAATTTTATGTAAACGAAATATTTTCTGTTGCTGTCTCTATCTAATTTGTGACAAAAAAAGGATTTATTAGTGTGTCCTCGAGGCCAAAAATATCAAACCTCGTTCATTAAGGAAAACTACACGCCAAATGTTACTTTTTGATACTTTTTTCAACGAAATTCATCCGCACACATTACATAGATCAATGTAACAAAGATAAACAAAATGTGTGGTTGTGTTGTTAATCAGTTAGTTACCGGAAGTCAGTCGCACAATCATTCCTTTTAGTCAATACGCTATTTTATCAGCCTGCATCCAGCTCGTCAGGCAGTCAGTCAGTCAGTCTTTCCACCAACCGGCCAATCAGTGGTGAGCCAGCCAATTAGTTAGTTGGTTGGTCAGTTAGTCTGTCTGTCAGACAGACAGTCAGTCAGCATTTTTTTTATGCCACTAGCAATCTGAACCCTCAATATACGTAGATAGACAAAAGCATGTGAAATATGTAAAGCATTAGTTTGGACAGAGACATTAATGGACACGAGAGAATAACTATCACAGGCTGATGACATGAAAAAGAATATTAAGAATACATATATCTTATTAGGCGTTCTGTTGTGTAGTATCGCTGAGTATTTTTACGAGTTGTGCCGTATTTTGACGAGCCCGTAGGGTGGTAGTATGTATGGATGTATGTGTAAGCCTTTGCTCATGCCACCAGTCCCAATCTTTTTCTGTGTGTACCAGAGTGTAATTTCTCCACATCCAATTTTTTGAACATCAATTTTGTAAATCTCAAGATCTATTATTTTTTAAGATGATTGCAACTACAACAATATACCTCTGTTGGTAATGTGATGTGTAGCCTGTCATTCTGTGTTCATCCAACCCTTGACCAGGATCAGCAAGGTGTTGAGGCAAGCCTGTTACTTGTGGTGACATGGGTGGACCGAGCGGATCTCCTTCACCAACCACTGAATGTTCCTAAAATTGAATTTCAATTATTATCAGTTTTCACTGGTGTGCACATTGTAAAGTTCACATCCTTTGTGGCAGCCAACAAATTAACCCAGCACTTTACCTCTTTCTTACCCATCTGGGTCTCTTTCTACCTGGAATATGTCATTAGAGCATAAATTGCAAAAATGAAAATATTCTTTAATCTCTTTTATTTGCTTGAACATATATATCCTCATAACTCATCTAAAAAGTTGAAGAATTTAGAAAAAAATTTTAAAAAGAGTCCTCCACAGCATAAAGCAATGTACAGAATACCCAATAGAAACATGTGATAGTAAGGCTGTAACTCAGTACCTGTATCCAATAGTGTTGATTTATCAGAATGAGTAATGTTTATTTGTCAAGTTTAGCTGCTTGTTGCAATGTGCAAAATAATCCAGGTTTAAAGGTATTGTAATAATTAACACATGCTCATTTAAGGCTTTAACCAACCCAGCCTTAATGAAGAATTTAGAACTACTTAACCCAATCAGCAGTGTTAACGTATTTGATCATAATTATAGTAAATTTGTTTTTGAAATGGAGGAGTCATCACTGATGTATTTCATTCTATTTCTATCTCTTTTTTTTGTTGCAGTCTTCATTCTTACCTCAACTGACATGTAGTGTGGGTGTGGGTGTTGTGGTTGTCCATGCTGATGCATCATCTGCCATGAAGCTTGTGAGAATGAGCCATGAACTGGACTGGTTATGTATTGCGAGCCTGACATTTGGAGCTGGTTCATCTGACTGGTTAGATGTTGAACAGAGCTCTGCTGCAAAGCCCCAACATTGTGTTCCATTGATGAAGGTGTAACTGGTGTTGCTGCTGCGGCAGCTGCTAGCTGACTCTGAATAAAAGAAAAGAAATCATTGAGGTAACTAGTATGAATTCATAATTGACTGTGCAATTTCAGATGAATATTACTGCATAGAAATATTTTTGCATAATTGGTCCAATGGCAATTTTTTTTTCAAAAAGTGCAACTTATGTTTAAAGTATGTGCAGTTTACAAGCATATCTCAAACAAAGATAATTCCAATGACAAAACTTGAAGCAAACAGTGAAATGACTAAATCACATTCTGAATAAAGGCTGAAAGTTTCGAAAGAAACTGTTTGGGGCTGCGTCAGTAGGAGTAACGAAATAATTTGGAAATATCAACAAAGTTGAAGTGGTAAATTGGCCACCGTAACATTACAAAAGCTGACGTTTTGAGCGTTGGCCCTTCATCGGAGCGAAATGAAGAAGGGCTAACGCTCGAAACGTCAGCTTTTGTAATCGTTACGGTGGCCAATTTACCACTTCAACTTTGTTGATATATCTAAATCACATTCTCACTGGTTGTAGTTGATGTTGCATCTGAATGTAAGGTTGATGTGCAAGCCAGCTTCCACCTCCTCCGGTTGCAAGTTGGTATGCAAGTGGGATATTTGTTTGTACAAATGCTGTCCCCTGTTAAAAAAAAGTAACAATTCCAGATCATGTTAAAAAATCTTCCAAAGTCAACTTCACATTTAATACGCTAACATAAATTTGGCGACACAGTTTAGACAATCTGTGGGTTTATCAAAATGTCATAATAAAGAGAATTATGACAACAACAAATGAAACAAAAGTCTTGGTATAAGAGCTAGATGTTTTTAGTTTCGAATTCCTTATTAAAAGAGCCAACTATTACCTTGTGGGACACAAATGCAAATTCAGGTGAAGCAAAGGGATAAGAGATTACCAGTATTTTGTACAAGTACATACATGTATACCAAAAAGACAAAGGAGTTTCCCGTGCACATATACATAAAGATTGTTGGCTAGACATAATCAAATGATTCTGAGCTGGGAGAATAAAAACACAAAAATTGCTTTGGTTTCAGTACATACATTCAAGATTATCCTAAATTTGTTTGCTTTAATGTACTTTGGATGTACTGAGATAAATCACTGGTACTCTGAAAAAATGGACCATAGATTTAGAATTAGGTAATGAATGAGTCTCTAGCTTTGGATGTAACACAAAAATTGTATTCACCTGTCCAGGGAGAACTGCAGCATGAGTTGTCATAACTCTTCCTGAACTCCCTACAGTTGATCTAAATAAAGTGACCAAAAGAAAGATATTTTTCAAGTCAAAAGGACTCTTTGAGAAAATTATGCTTAAAACGTGCTCTATTTGTAACTATTTTTAATCAAGGAACGCAGAGAATTTTGAAAATTAGTGTCTGCAATAACATGTTGAGACATTGCAATTATGACATTAACTGTCTTTCAAAACATAACAATGCTGTTGTTTTTCAGATACAACAAACCTAGTTCCCAATTCAGGAAAACAAAACAATACACCGAATGCAAATATGGTGTCCAATTTGAATTGCCATTGTTCTGGACTGACTAGCCTCTCACACATGTAATAATCCTTTTGTGTTTCCACGTGAAGACGAGGCTAGTCAGTCTAGAATGGCAATTTAAATTGGACGCCATATTTGCATTCGGTGTATAGATACACTGCATACCGAAAATAAAAAGATTACAATGAACCCACCCATTTTGCATCACTAGTGGTTCACCGTATCCAAGCAAGGGTACTCCCTAAAAAAGAAATGGAGAAACAACATTAGAGCATAAGGTCTGAGTTTATTAATACATATCTAATTAAATATTTACATACTGCTTTTGCAATTTGGCAATACATATAAATTATAAATTAATTATAAAAGGGTACTCCTTAAAAAAGAAATGGAGAAACAACATTAGAGCATATAGGTCTGAGTTTATATATACATATATATATATAATTCTTTCCAAAACATTGCAATTTGGGAATACATATAAAATATATGTACCTTTTCTTTTCTCATCAAAAAGGCTATGCATGATGTATGTGTATTTTACATCAGAGGAACAATTATGCCTAATTGTCACTATAATTAATTATGTGGACATTATTATGTTACATATTATATATCTATAATGTATCACAATAACATGTAAGGATACCTGTATAATGTATAGATAATTTTCACTCATTTTTCTCTAAAATATAAAATTTTAGATTTCTTGCCACAAGGTGGACACTTTAGCATTCCATTTTTGTCCGCTCAAACAAATCAAAATAATTGATAAATAGTTAAATTAACAAGTAAAATATTAATGAGAAATTCATAGAATATCAGATTGGCATTAATGTATCACTGAAGAAAACAGACTGTCAGTAAGAAATTGATATTGCTTATCTTGTAACTAATGAACACTGACCTCCTGTCTATTTAACTGCCAGGAATTGTCTGTTTACAGAAGAATATTGTGTTAGTAACATGCCACCTAGCAGACAATTTAATTTGACTGTTGTCCGTGACTGCCACTCAACTGGACAACCTTAGCAGAAGTCATTATCAAAGTAAAGAGCCAATTGGGTATGATGGCGATGCAGATACAATAGGCCATACCATGGTTTTGCTGAGTTTGTTGCCTTTTCTTGGGACCTCCATCAGCAAACTTGACAACAAGAGCTTCAATGCTACCTACAGGTTGTGACAGACAATAGAGCATATTATGTCCCTAAAAAGCTATTGCATTGATAGATAAAAAGCTTGAAACAGACAAGTAACTTGAAAAGGCTTAACTTTTATGGATGTGGATAAGTTTCCCACCTTTTAGTTAACCTACTTTTCAAAACCACTTAAAAAATGAACAATAAAAAGTGTTTAAGAAAAAATTTATAGTCATGATCATGCAAATATCTAAAAAGGAAATGTCGATCAGCCAGATAGTCCAAAACATTTTTCCTGAATGTAAATTTTTGAATGAGGTAGTAATTATGTACATGTACAGTTCATTCCTGAGGGACAATAACTACCATTGGCCAAACATTACAATGTACACTTACCAGTAATCTTATTACCATTAAAATCTTTGATTATCTGTTCACAAATTTGTGTATTTTCCATTCTATAAGTAGAATATCAAGGCTTTGTTTAGTAACAGGAAGCAAATATACTGCATGCCACCACATCTCTACTTCAAGGAGTTGGACAAGTGACTGCAGTCAGCCTTCATTTGTAAATCAGGTTCAGCTCTTTTATGAATCAGTAGCAGTTAATACACAGCATACTTGAATCAAAACAGGTATAATCTGCTTCCTATCATTGACAATTTCCAATGAAACTTTATTGACAGCAATAGCTAGCTGTAACCAACCAATCACAAGAGTAACCATAAGCAGTATATAGTGACAGTTTTGCTTGCAAGGACAGTCTCAAATGTCACACCATTTGATACACGGTCAATTGTACGTACCATAGTTACATAACAATGGTTAGCAATTGGAGGAACATAGGTGTGTTCAAAAGTTTTTCAGCATACAAGTATAATTTGCTTGTCTTCGCTGCACTATACCCATAGTGTGGCATGCAAAGAAGTCTATGCATGCACCTTAGCCGTTATGAGTATAGTATTCTTTGGTATTGTTACAATAAATTTTATTGCAATTCCAGCTCCTAAACTGTTGAGTGCCAAGAGGAAGTGGTGGCATATGAGGGTCATGCCTTTGGCTGCAAGAAATCTAAGACACTTGTATCTTAACCATTTACCTTGCAAATCCTACACCTCTACTCTCATGGTCAGTATCTCTTAAAATTCTTGTTGATATAACTTTGCCATATCTTCTCAACAATGCTTCTAATTTCTGAGAGAGAAAATTAATTTCTTTAACTAACATAATCATTTGTTGAGTATTCAAACCAGTTATTCAATGAATCACTCTAGTGTGACTCAATCTTCTTTTTAGGTAAATGTGACTGTATCATGTTAAGTGTAATTGAACCTATATATAAGTTCAAAAAGAGACTATATTTTTCACCTACCGCTTCATCAAAATTTCGTGGAAGATAAAGAAAATATAAATTGGTGGGGTCTTGCTCTTGTTGCTATAAAGAAGAAAAGTATACTAATTTATGTAACCAGATTAATTTAGTACTCTGCTTGCACATAATTGGTCTAAAATTTCTTTTGTAAGTCAGTGGGAATACAAGTAGTGCTTCTGATATCCTATATTTGGTATACATTTCAGGCTATTTTTGGCACAAACTGTGACTTTCAAACAGACACAAAGACACATGTCATAGGAAACATTGCATTGGGATGTCACAAAACTGATAGGCCTATGGCATTTTAAAACAACTTCTTGTTTTAAAACAAAAAGACACAAATAACCCATAAAATTCCATCGTTACTATTAAGAAAAGCTTCAAGGCTTAAATGGGAATGCTATGTCAACAAGTATAATTATGCCCTCAATTTTCGCTGAATTAGACTATAAGCAGAAACAATTACTTTCTACACCAAGGAGGCCTTTCACAGAGTACAAAACAATGGCTCAGTGAATCAATTTAACTTAAATCAGTAAACCCCTGTTTTTTAGCCTGTAATTCACTTCAACTTAAGTTTCCAGGTATTGAACTGGGCTCCAAATTAACTTAATACCAAGATCTGTGATCTGTTTACAGACAGTAAGGGTTTCGACACTGTGAAACCAATCTTAAGACCAAGCACAGACAATTGACAGCACAGAAAAGGGTTTACTGGTTCACATAAGACTAAGCTAGCAGGGCCATATTCTTGAATTTCCTTCAGCAGCCTCAAGTGTGCAAAGAGAAAAGTAACAGGTAACAATATAAAGATTTTGGATACATGAGTTATGTTTGTGTCACTCTTGCTAGCACATGTTCCGTCACATGTGCTTCAGGTTTATTTTTGACCATTAGTCTAAATACTACAACAATATTTGCATGATAATGAAAGTCTCCTGATAGCAACAGTCAATCCTCTTTAAACCAAAATATAGGTTTCCACACGTGCTTCTACAGATGGTCTATCTTGTGAGGTCAGAAAAATCTCTTGTTGTTTTATCTCTAGTGATCTGCAGGATATCCAACCAACTTATATAATAGGTTATTTTCTTTTGTGTACTAAGGTATTTCTTTGTCCTATTGTGGATGGACTTACTTCAACAACTGACTTACATTTTCATATTTAATAACATGAGGCATGACGTAACCCCCCTCACTGTGATTAAATAACTTTCTGAGGTTCCCCACCCTCAAATATTAAGCTGTAAGTAAAATTAAAAACTTAAGAAAATTAACTTTAATTTCAAAGTCATCATAACAAATTAAGATTTGAGTGTGCAACTACAGCACGGCATGCATTCTCGCCACAAAATGACCCACTGCATGACAGAGGATATGAACAGGAAGGGAAGAGGACAATGCAACATGACATTTGCTAACCTTAGCCATCTGGGCTTGAATTCCTTTGTTCTTCAGGGCGGTAACTGCTTTTTGTGCCACAGTGGGTGACTCAAAGTCCACAAATCCATACCCTGTTTGAATTAAAACACAATTTAATCAATAAACAAACAAAACAGACAGATGACAGAATAAAGGAAATGGCCAGCTACTGGTATGTTATTTCCCACACAGCATGTTGTTTTGAATATTTATAGTTCATCTACTATGTGTACTTCTAATTGGTAAAGTGCTGTTGTCTGTACGCATGTTGGAAGTTACTTGAACACAAGAAATCAAACATGTCACACGGAAGCAGACATCAAGAAGCTCTGACTACTGAAAAAAAATTCTTAAAATGTTGCATCACTGCATAAATGATGGCATAACACCATTAATCACTCAACTGACCACATCAGTCATAAAACCATATACTGCATCTGTTGTTGATTAAGTTGAATTTCAGCTAATCATCGACGTCAAGTTGTCCTTCCTCCCTTTTTCTTTCTTTATATATTTATTTCAATTACTTCTTAGCTGAAGTTTGCAACTCTTGTTACTAACAATCTTCGGAAAATAATGTTCTCAAATTTTTGCCACAAAGATAAGCTAAATTTAGTTCTAACAAAGACAAGAAAAGTCAACAATTATTGCTGAAGGATCCACACTCTAATGTACACCACGCCCCAGTTGTTCAAAGGGCGGATAATGCTATTCAACGGATAAATCGCTATCCAGCAGATAAGTGTTACCAAAACGTACTGTGCTATCCACCGGATAGAGATTTATATCCAGTGTATAGCGTTATGCATCCTTCGAACAACTGGGGCCAGAGCTTTAGCACACAAATTATGTTGCAGACCACAGGATTTGAGATCACCACAATGTCCTGATAATTTGTTTTTCATATATTGAAAAACAACATAAAAAAAACCAAGCAACAACACATGGCATCAAGTTATTAAGTCCTCCTCTATAAGGACAAACCTTTCATGTTACAATGTGTGTCACTTCTCTTTCTCTCATTACCTAAAGTTACCTAAAAAAATGCCCTTTTTTCTCATGAAACAAATCATGATCACTGTTTGCTTGGGCTGGATGTAACCTTAGTATGCAATATTTTCTTGGTATAACACCAAATTCTCCAAGTTAGCCAAAGAGAAATGCATTCTAATCAGTTGAGAGAATTGTCTAATTTCACCTTGGGTTAATGAATAACTGAACATGGAGTTTGCTTGACTTAATTCCCTCATTATAATAAAAGTGCTGATACCAAAGACAAAAACAAAAACATTCAGTTAAGGCTTTATGAATGTTAGAAGCTGCTGCTGATGCTTACCTTTACATTTATTAGTGTTCTTATCTAGAATAGCTTTTGTTGAAATAATATTTCCATATCTGTGGACAGAAAGAGTTTTAGATTAAATAGATATTTTTAAAAGCTAAATACAAACCAATCACACACATTAATTTACCAGCATATTTTTGACTGAAAATAGAGCACAACTAGGGTAGAGCTAACTTTTAAAGATTAAAATTGCATAAAAATGAATTAATCTACAAATAAGCAATTGAATGGATGGTGGATTGACTGGTAGAGACTGAGCAGAAGTGACTGAATGAATGAGTAAATGATGTCAAAACCAATAAAAAAATGATAGGAAAAATGAATACATTAAAGATTGAACAAATTGAAATGAACAACAAACCAGGCCTGAGAAAAAAATTAATGATTTAAGGAAGGAGCAAGCCAGAAGAATAGGGGAAGGAATGTAGAAAAGGGTATGTGATTAACTCAGATAAGTAGGTGGTTGAAGGAAGAAGAAGAGAATCGAGTAATAGGATGTTGGAAGGTAACAAAAGACTAAGCTTAAAAGTAATGAGGAAAAAGGGGAAGGGAACAAAGCAGGGGAGGAATTGAGAAGAAACAAACGTCAAAAGGAAGGAAGGAGGAAAATGTGTTATGCACAAACAAGTTGACAACTACCCAGTGCAAAAACTTAGTACAAACTAAAATATAAATAGAGCACAGTCCAAATGCTTGGCAACCTCACCTGCTACATAAATTATTTAAATCTTCATCAGTTGTTCCAGGTGAAAGTCCTCTAATATATAGGTTTGTTTTGCTAAGCTTCTCTTCAGCTTCATCTTGATTGTCACTTACTGATAAACTTCTCTGTCCTGATGTTGGTGGTGGACTGCTTGGTATGTTATATGCCTTGTCAGCATGAAGAAAATGAGACAGAAAGATTAAGTTAACCTCTTAACTCAGGAGAAGATGATTTTTGTGAGATGACAATACCTCTGATGTGTCAAATTAATCTTAATCAGTAAGATGACCACACGGGTGATCTTCTTACATGTATGTCAGCAATCATGGTATGACCTAGATGAAGCTCCCTTCACTCATAATAACCCTGAGGAAGTATAATGGTGCAGCTGTAGAATGAAACTAAAGAGCAGTTGCAGATGAATATGTCTCTGTGGAGTACAGTGTTGAAGTCCTATATTGGAGCCACAGCAAATTTAGCTTGGTTCCTGGTTGAAGGAATCTGGTGAACAGCATACCTGACTCAAGCCTTCACATTATATGGGGAGGGCAAACAGACCCCCTACCCCAGAGTGAAAACACTCTGAACTTTCAAACTAGCTTATATTGAAGGCTCTGCCAAGTATTTGCAACATCCAGGATGGAGCTATTTGCCAAAAAGAGAGTGAAAATGTCTAGGGTATTCAACTTCCATAAATTTTTGCATAAAAAATTGACACCACTTCCAATGTAGTGCATATATGTATCAGTTATACAATCAGGGTTACTTGCAACTTCCCAACCCTTACCCCAAACCACCTTTCCCCTTTTTTTTTAACATTAGATCGTAATCAAAGTTAAAGTTAATCAGACAATTTTTTTGGACATTCATTTTAACCAAATCATCAAGTAACACCCTCTCTCTAGATTCAATAGTTAAGTCTCATGGAAGTGGAGAAAGTATCTGAGGAACGTGATCATTAATCTTAGCTAGTGACAGGACCCCACCTAAGCAAAACCCTATGCAATAAGCCTGTCTATGTGATAATTGGGTAATACATCCACTTCATGTGTGATGCTTTCCAAGATTTGAGACTTATATCTGTGTAAAGAATTATTCTTGGGAGTCAAGAGCCTATAATCAAAACAGTCCAACTTATGAGTTATCTGTAGGATAACACAGAACTGGCACTCAAATGTGATTTAAACTAGCCTCTCTGAACTTTGTAAGGTTTATGATGTTCAGTAAAGCCTCCTTGACAAGCCAGACAGTTTTCTTTTTCTTTTATGAAGGATACAGAAGCCTAACTGTACAGATGAAATTACACGACTTTTGACCTCAATTTCCTGTCTGTTACTTTACCCCTTAACCACCAGCATTCAAAAAATGTAAACAACACAAACCCTGTCTAAAACTATAAGTTCAAGTTAAGATGAAGTGCACGCTACTAGAAATGTCTACATTCCATAGATTTTTGCCACTGGGAAACTATCCAACCATCACTATTTAAAAGAGTCTATGTCTACATGTAGTAATAAGGTAACCACACACCAGTGATTTAAATACACATGAACAATACTGCATTCAGTTAAGTATTATCATATAACTTTGCACACGTTTGTGGTTTGTGAAGGTCACCTCAAGGAGACTATAATAACTTGGATTTAGCATTATTACATAACCATACACGTGTTTTTGTACATGTGTAAATGAGCTCATGGACACCCTTTCATCATTATATTACAAGACTACATAGTTGAAATGTTTCTTAAATTTGTGAGAATGGATTTGGCTTAACAAAACACTGTCAAACAAAAGCTCGATCATGCCAAATAGTAACATGATGTCTAACCACAATGTTCATGGCAAAACTTGTTTCAATTAATATTCTCAAAGTGATAAAATTATTTTCATGGAAAACTACAATCCACATTCACCAATATACACAAGAGGTACTGCTCCTCTTGACTGCCACTTCTGACCTGGTGTTAGAAAAGAGACTTGCTTGTCCATAGATATATTAAGTGTCACTATTCAAAAAAATTTTTTTAATTTTAAATTTTGAACCATCTTAATGAGGAAATGTTGACTATTTCAAACTAATCAACAAAACAGTACTCTGGCAAAGGTTTCAAAATTGGTTAGTTGTGACAATTCAAACTCTGTGCCAGCATTGTTTAAATAATCCTATGCTACATTTGAAGACCTTTAACAATTCAGGAAATGCCAAGTATGGACAAAGGTAGATTGAGTTTCAGTGTCAATGATTTTGATTAAGTTTGTAACTCTGTGTTCCAATCTTTCCTTGAACAAGATGTAGGTAGGTATCATTGAGTTTTCAATGCACGTGTGGTTGTATCATCACTCTTTTGTGACTTTATAGTCAGGTAGTATTTGCTGGAACAAATAATTTCTGGGACTTTACCGGAATAGTTGCAACACAAGTAATCAAATTCTTGGTAGACACTTATCTTGTCTCATAATAACTGCATTGAATGGCAACATGGAGTACAATCAATACAAAAAAAACATCTATTGCCCTCTTTCTTGAAAATTTATATTGATAATTGCACAATAGAAATTAATAAAATTATTATTATTATTTCTTTTGAAAACAAACAATTTCAAACAGCTGATAATTTGCCTTTATCTTGCTTTTGCTTTCTTGACTACAATAATGGAGAACTCAACAAACTAATTGCTCACCGAATCTACATGTAGTGTTGGGCAAAAGTCAGTTATTCCATTCTTTTTGGCTGCATTATCCTAGATTTTCAAACATATGCCTCACATTGGAAATACTTTAATGAACTAGAGGAGTACCCTTCAAGTTAATCGCTCCCTAGTAAGTACTCGTACAGATCCTTATTTCTGCGCCATTGACTTTCTCTTAAGAATAATTAATAATACAACTGCTGTGTAGTGCTGAAGTGTACCTGGTTACAAGACTGGACCACCACATTAACCCTGTTATTTCTTGCTGTATGGAATGCTTACAACCTCATGGCTATACTTCTGAAAAATGGCATAGCAAACATTTCCTTTTTTATCTTACCCCTGGATGTGCATAGCCATATATAGGAGCTGTTGGTGGGAAACGTGGTGATGTGAATCCTACAGGCCATGAAGGATATGCTTGCCATGTTCCTCCTGGACTCGAACGAATGTTTCGTCCTCCATGGTACGACTTTTGCTGCTGCTGTTGCTGTTGCTGCCATAGAATTCACAGTAATTTTATGAATACAATGGTAACAATCTTAAAAAAAAAACGAAATAATCATAAAACAGACTACATGCTAAGAAGAGAAATTTCTTCAACACTCCTGCTTGACAGTTGTAAGGGAAAAAAAAAAACACACTGATCTTTCCCTGGATTAACTGCTCTACTCATTCTTCCTGTCCATTATATTAAAGTGCACCTACACCCAAAAATTTTTTTTGGCTTAACGAACTAAGCATATTTTTTAGAGTATTTCTGTGCAAAAATTTTTTTATTTGCTCAAATCTTCAATTTTCTATGCCCAGTCAAAATACGGAAAATCGGCTGCCATCTTGCCCCACGACCGAGTTTAAAGAGGAATGGCTCCAGTGGGTAATGTGATGTCAAATCGAGAACTTGAAAGTCTGCTTTTCACACATTTTCACTTGTTTGGGAAGGTTGTAGTCGATAATTGTCCGAAAATATGCCGACTAAGTGTGTTGTAGAAGGATGTAGCAACGTGCGAAATTTGCAAGAGGGTATCGCGCTTCAAACAGTCTTCATACAACACACCTAGTCGGCATATTTCAGACAATATCGACGACAATCTTCCCAAACAAGTGAAAATGTGTGAGATGCAGACTTTCGTGTTCTCGATTTGACATCACATTACCCGCTATAGCCATTCTTCTTTAAACTCGGTCGTGGGGCAAGATGGCGGCCGATTTTCCGTATTTTGACTGGGCATAGAAAATTAAAGATTTGAGCAAATAAAAAAATTTTTGCACAGAAATACTCCAAAAAATAAGCTTATTTCCTTAAGTGAAAAAAAAATTTTGGGCTTAGGTGCACTTTAAGAACTTGTAAACACAAAGTGCAGAACTGAGATATTGGTTTAAGTTTGGGTGCCTTGCACTGATGTGAGACAAGAAGTCAACTGCAGTCGCTACTGGTGAAAACATCACAATCATAACTCTGAAGCATAAAATGCAAAGATAGCTGATAAAATAATTATTTAGTGGGTATACATTGTGGGCTAAAATTGAAATTACAACCCTAGGACTGAAACACCCTCAGTCTTGTCATGGCACTTACTGTTTTTGGAAGGTTTACAGGTTGCTTCCTCCTATTCTGATTCTGGGGTTGTCTCATGGAAATCTGCACAGATTAAAATGATGCAAAACTGATTTAGATGTGGTGTCGATCTTAGCCGGCTTTCAGACTATCACAAGTTTTGAGGAACTTCTGGAAAGAAAAAACTGGCTGCCTGGAAAAGTAGTTTTAGCCTCTAAATGGGTACCGTTGTTATACTTTGTATGCAGGTGTTTACAGTGCAGGCAGACAATTGTTTGTATATGCATTAAGGATGGCTTCAATCAGTGATCAAAGTCTAACTACAAGTAGCCAGAGTAGAAGTAGGTAACTCTAACAGAACAACAATGGTTAAAAATGTTTTGTAATCTCCCCAACAAACGACCATTCATGCTTTAAATATACCTTGCCCCATAACAAACACACCCTAAATATTTTGAAATCAATGCGGAAAAGCATGTTTAACTTACAAGATAAAAAAATCCTGCACGTGGTGGACATTCGAAAGTGTAATTTACTTCTTTAGATAACTATATATTTATTTTGGCAGTAGACTGGTAAGTTCGTAAATGTGAATGTCTATGTAGTGCAATCTTTGCCATATAATTTCCCTGATGATTTCAACTCCACTTTTGTTTAGGACACAGTCATTGCATTCTTGTGGCTTTCATTTTTTTGTTAGATTACTTAGAATATTGCGCTAAATAAAAGACTTGTGTGAGCAAGAGTTCATTGACTTCTCAGATTTAATATGAACTCCACCTGTGTGCAAGAAAAAATTCCTTTATAGCTCATTGGTTTGTACATCTTTGGGCAGTTTGGCAAAAAGATTTTGGCAGTGGATATACCCAAAGTTTCTGCCAAAATCCTTGAAAAAAATTTCCAGAAAAATTAGTGGGAAAAGCATAGTGGGAAAATGTTCCAATGACATTTCCAACATAAAACATGATCAAAATGTTGTTGGGGGAATTGAGTAATCAATATTATGGATATCTTTAACAGTAGACATGGGTAATTTGTCATAAGAGCAAACAACAGTTATTCAGGAGTTTACAGTTGCATCTACTATGAGTATAAAAATATTTCGTTGAACTACAACAACTGCCTTGTTAAATGCCAAATCTGTTGTTTTAGTTCATTCAAATTCATTTTTGTGCTCCAGAAGAATTAATGATTTGGTAAATGGCCAACTGAAACTAAAAAGCATTTTAGGATACCCATCAAATCGAAGCTGTTTTTTTAATTCTTTAAACCAAACCTGGACTTAAAATAGCCCGAGGAGATTGTCAGTCTCGACGGCAGTATTTGTCACAGAAATTTGAGTCTAAACTAAGAAAATTGAATACAACACTGTCTCCTTTAAAAATTCGAAATGGAAAAGTTTTAAAACGAGAACGTGCTTCATGAGAACTCTCTAATGCCTATTGCGTAAAATGCTATGCGAAAACCGCATGAGCTTAATGCTATAGAACGTTAACGTAAATATATGTTGATATCGATTAACTATTTTTCCTAGAGTACATAAGTTTACTGGAAACGCAAGGTCAATTTGAAAATATTGATAATTGGCGGTTATTTCATGATAACTGCATTTCCTGAGTAAACAGTAAAAACGGAGAATACTCCGATAACGTTACCCTGCGAGCATTCACGATGTCGCGAAATTCTATTCTTATACATACACAAACAAAAACACTTGGAGCCCACGGAGGATATTATTCTCGTAGGCGATTAACCGTTCAAATACACAGTTTTGGAGAAAACCTAAATAACGTAACTGTAGTGCTCGTAGTGCTAATATTATGAAAGGAGAGAAAAGTTATCCAAGGTTACTTCTAATTCAGCTAAAAAAAACAATGTTGCAAGTATGTTCCAATTCTGGTATATTGCGCTTAGCTCACTATGACACATATCGCACCAGTGTTATTTTTTAATATTCCTTACTCTAATTTTCCTCGTTAAGCCTAGAAACAAATTGAAATTTATGGTAAGCTTTTCAGAAATGCTTTTAAGGATTCACGAAAAAGAGACTCATCTTGTTTTTTGGGGGACAATTCATAAAACCTAACGTAGTAGCTAAAACAAAGATTGTTCTATGACTGAAAATTTCGTTACCAGTAACATCAAAATAAGGAAATACAGCGGGAAAATGCATCTGAGAACTTATGTCTTTACTTCAGATTGCTGTGTGTTGACGAGGGACGAAAACAGCGATATAAAATTACATTCAATTTGTCAATTTAATCCGGAGAAAGTCGCTTGAACGGTCTCAGAGAAGATTCCTTAGACTGAATCCAAATTTGTTTCAAACAACATTTCCCGGACTACACATGGCAACAACGAAGCTTTTTAGATCCGGAAACCAGATTTTTTCGGCGGGATTCAAGAGTAAACAAAAAGTTCCCGTGACTAAAGAACTTCCGATGTCCTATTGACAAAATAAGATGAACGGCGTCGAAGCTTTGATCGTAATTTGAAGTCAATTAACCCAATCGTGTCTTACATCGATCCCTCTCTTACAATCTCCAGAAGACTCCTCGCTCCCAGAATTATGAAGTAGTTTAATATGTGGGCGATGAATTAGCTACAAGGATCCTCATGACGGCGGAGATTTAAAGCATCATCAATCTCAAACAGGCCGCCACATATAAAACCGTGTATTGTAGAATGTAAATTAGCAAGCTTTGTACGCTTTTCGATAATTTCGTTGACGTCTTCGGATAAGTCACGCATAACTTTTGTCGTGAAAACCTAACTTCCGTCAGCAAAACCAGTACAAGGCCGTCACATCGCCGTAGAATTACTTATCTGATGCTACGACTCATCAACAAAGACATCGAGAGGAAAGAGGAGTTATAGGCAGACTCCGAAATTTCTACGTGAATACTTACTTGATTTCACTAACGCTCAAATTGCTCGTTATCGCCAAAAATCTCCGAAGACGAACGGGAGAAAGACAGTCTCTTTCATTTTAGTACAATTACTTCTTTGCAAAAGGGAATAAAAATAAATAAAGGAAATGACAGCAGTTGTAAATATTACATTCAAGACGCAATGTAGCACAACTGGCGGCTCATTTTAATCAGGCTGAATATTTACCTCGCATTCGACGATCAACCGACGCACAATCCTCTAGTAGCGAAATCGCGGGAATCAAAACTCTAGAAAACAACCCGACGATCGGAACAGGGGTCCACGCGTATAAAATAGCTACAACAACATGATTTAATAACAAATTTTATCTTTTGCTTCACTCTTCACTAGTAACGCGAGAACTGTGATCTTATACGCTGACCATAAGCGGATACCACCGATATCTTAGCCAAAATCCTAACTCACATTTCATTTGTGACTATAGAAAATGTCCTTTGGAACATTGAGACCCGGCAAAAGGACAGGATTTGGCGCGGTCTTTTGAGACATTTAGTTCGCACTGCTCCGCACAGTTCCGGTAGTTGCTGAAGGACAGAGTTTTCTATGAATTTGCTACGCACAAAAGATCTACACCAACAAAGCCGTGTCGTGGGAAATTACAATCCCACTACACAATCACAATCACAAGATGACTACTGCTCAAAGATTTCACCAACTCAGCTCTCGAAGTAGCGAAATAATTATTGCGATTTTGTATACAAATGACACCGAAAACGCGGGAATGTGGGGAATTCGCGGCAACTCGGCGGCCGTAACACGCGAACATAACCAGCAAACACTGCCAAGATTTCATTATTCATGAACGTGCAATAAACGCTAGCTATCTAAAATGAAAGGAAAACACGCCAAACACCGCGCTCTGGCTTTTAACAGCGCTCCATAAGAAGCGATGATGATCAGCGTACAGCACGTCACATGATGAACGGATGTGGAAAACTACAAGAATAATCTTAGAGGAAGGTACCTTCTTGTCATCCTTTTCCTGTCCATTTTTGTTGCGATTTTCAACCTCCGCGGTAGGCGTTTCGTCTTCCTCCAGCGTTTCTCCTTCAGGTAGATCCCTGGTCGCGTGATCCTGAGGCGCTGCCGAGTCGTGCGGCCCATGAGAGGTGTGCGATTCACCATCCTTGGAATGCGTACGGTCTTTGTTGCTTGTTCGATCAGTTGTCATCGTTGATGTCTCTAGAACCTGAACCAATGAATCGCTCATTATACGCCTACAATCCTACAAGCGATCAAGGGCCTCTTCATTCCAGTTGCCCTAAATCTGAAAATTGACAGAATATACTTGTAAACACAATGTAAACTTAAAACATGATACAAGAGAATCCAACCTCAAAGCTGGATTCAGTTGAATTTTGTAACACGAAAAGGCACTATGCTACCACTATGTTTTCAAAATGCCGCTCTTTCCTGACACCAACAACTGTCCTCGCGACTCGTTCGCCCGCGTAACCTGCTCAACTGTTAGTCCATATGAGCAACGCGCGTCAATCACACCGATTTTTAGAGCCAATTTGCATTGACTGAGCTTTACTTTCAGCTGCAAACGGACGCAAAGGCTAGTCGATCGGACGTAAACAAACCACACACACACGTGGCCACGGATCGCTTCAATTCGGCAGAAATCTACGAACGGATCACAACAAGGCTTATCTCCCACTAAGAAATAACATGTGTGGAAGTTGGTGCTTTACCCTTATAAAGAAAAAGCGCCTACTACAGTAACATCGATCGCAGATCCAAATGTTTTTACGACAATATATTCCGTGACGCCATAAGATTTTCTTTTCCCGCCACACGCACAGAGCATGTAAACTTGCTCCGATCAGCTAACCTCTCAACGTCAACTAGATACAACACGCAAACTCCTTAGTCGCGAACTCGATCATCAAATCACAAGCGAAGTGAAAGGTACCCTCTCGTCAGCCGGCGAGCACGTGATGACCTTTCAGCCAATGAGCGGCCCGGCGGGAAAGCTCTACAGCGGGGGCCGCTAATTGGTAAATGATTTATTTTAAAGAGAATAGCGCCACTGAGACGGGAATCCCGCTGGCGGCGATCGCGGGAATTCGTAAACTATCGGTGAGCGAAGTCGTTCGCCATTGTAAAGCGAAGATTGTTAGCCAGAAATAGAGCTTTTGTGCGAAGTTTCTGCATGGCGTCGCTAAGCATACAAATAACAACGAACAATAAAACCCTGTCAACTGTCAGCAAGGCGTTGTGCTTGACAAGTGCTGGGCCAATCGGATGGGTGTATTCGGTTTGTTTACTTGTCTTTCTCCGTAACAATAGCCAAACTATTGAATGAAGCTCCCTTCCCAAGTGGCTCTAAACATGCAGGTGAATCTGCTGCGAGAGATCCGCTGCGTGAATGATCGTTGAAAAGTGAACACAAGTGACGAGTGCACCAACAGCCATACGGTGTTATGGCTGAGAAATAAAATGAGTTTGCACTTAAGCTAATCTCATCAAATCTCCTCACTTGTACAACGGTTTGAGAAGCTTGATATCCAAGAGGGGTTCTCTTTCTCCAGATAACTGCCGGTTGCATATCCAGTTTGTTTCCTAATTACTTTAACTTCCCCACTGAAATGATTTACTCAGCACGCTAATCTGGATACCATCCTAAGTAACCGTGTCTCCTTTCTCCTGTTAATTTCTGAACGTAGCTACAAATAAACTGTTTCGTAGCGGTCGCTGTGATTTTCCGACATCACCCTATCAAACGATGTCTCTGGCGAGTAAAAAAGGACATTTGGTAGACAACCGGCATTAAAAGGATAAGAATCTCTGGGTGGCCCTACAAATCTTGTAAACAAATACAAAATGGCTACAAAGTATTAAGCTAGAGGGGAGGCAGAAAACAAATGGATGAAGTGCATTCAGTATTCAAAATATTTTAGCACCATCTAAACGCATTTACGCGTACAAAATGTAACGATTTTTGCGGTACGAGCGAGATGCAGTGTTTTACCTACTTGTCGCAGCAGTAGGGCCTTGTAACCCGTTTGAGATAACCGTAAAAAGCAGCGTGAATATGTGGGCTACACTTCCAGTGACAAACCGTTAGATTGCAGAGAGAACAAAGAGCGGTCCTTTGGAATCACTCGCTACGCCAGAGTGATTTCTGTGAATAATTGATGAAAGGCTCTCTTTGAAATCGTTTGATTTCCATTTACCACCATCTAAACACGCATGAAATATTTCTGAGGTTGTTCTTAGACGGCTTGTTTCGGATTCAACGATAGGATCGCTTTGAAATGGTGATAATTTCAAGACAGATTATAGGAGTCATCTATTACCGACCTGTTTCGTGTGGAGATTGAAAGCACGCGAGCCTCACATAGAAACAAAAACACGCGTAGGAATCATGAATATCGTGATTCGGCCACAAAAAGAATAGCTTTTGTAGAAGCCAATTAAAAATTTTCACGCTATTTTTAAACGACGCCCCGTGTGCGCTTTTTACAAATAATGGAGAATTTTCTTCAAACGATGAAAAGTGATAGACCTACGTACAAATCCGAGGGAGCTTTTGAAGTTTTTTTTGGGCCATTTATTTCCTGTTACTTACTCTAGAGATCAGAATTTGGATCGGATATAGATGACGGGTCCTGTAACAAAGCTGAGCTGGTCCTTCTAATGAAAAAAGTTTAAACAAATCTTGACTTTGACACATTTATGATGTGTTAACTGTTATTTTCTACAAACAAAAAGTTGGTGAAACTCTTCTAATTGGTAATTTTCCGAGACCTGCCATAAACTCTAAATGAGACGGGAGGAACATTCTTCTTTATCGAAATGTTATAGAAAAGCTCAAAAACATCGTAAAAATTTTCAACCGTTTTGAAAAGTAATTTATGAAGATGTATCAGACAATGTGTTATATGTTTCAGAGAAATATCATTCAATGCAGTTAATCATAAAAGATTATTTGTTTAATGCACAAGACTTTGTCTAGATGACTCAATCGCTATAACGAAAATGTTTCTCAGTCTTATACAGTCCTGTAAACGGTTGAGTTTTGAATTTTTAGGTAAATATTTCCCACGAACTTTGTTCCACCTCAAAATACGAATAGAAAAAGGATTAAATGTTGAGAAGCTCAAACATATTTAAGAGTAAATGAAAGAAACTATTAACCCACCAGAAGGCATGTGCTACAAAGAAATCGTTTAACCAATTCACGGTTAAACCTAAAATGACGGGATAACTACTTTTGCTAAAATTTACACCCTTCAAATACTGTTGTGAACATTCTTGATAACGAAAATAGATTGTTAATAAAATTTTCGGGGTTAAAATTGTTCCAGTTAACAAGATGTTAACCTATTTTGTTCTGATTGTCTTTACATTCAGAAATTTTAATTTCGACACCTTTAAAAGTAGTTGCTACATGGATAAAACATAAAATTGCAAATTAATTAAACGAGCACAATTTTATACTTTTAAAATAGTAATATTACTGTATTCAGGTGACATAATCCCGCTTTTGCTCTTCTCTCGATGTTCATGAAGATTTTGACTTTCAAGCCGATTTATCAATACTAAAGCTATATTTTTAAGTTTACCTCTTCACGTTTCTTCTGATTTACAGTGTAAAAGAATGGGCAATGGTTCCAATCAGCTAACAAAATTCCTGTTTTATTCGGAACCTTGTCAACGTTTGTGTTGACGACTATTAAAACTAACTAAAAAATATTCTCTCTCGAAATAAAACGGCAGATATCACGTTTCTACCTTTTTCTAGGGAGAAAAATACTAAGTTCTAAAGTCTTAAGTTCTACATCTGTTGTTTACAGTAAAAGCGTTAAAGATGAGACTAACGAGAGGCTCTGCTGAGGCACAACTTAAACTCATCATCATTCCCGACAATTGTTGTCAAGATAGCTATCATTAAGAAATGTTCAAAACGAAATCTCAGGGGATAACCTCGGAAAATGTGATATAAAAAAGGAAAAGAATGGAATAAATCACTTCATGGCTTAACTTTTCAAAAAAGGAATGGATTATTTAACAATTTAACGAGGTGGACAACTTCAAATCTTGTTTCAAAACAGGGCATTAGCCGTACTCCAAATTTATCATTCCAAATTTGCGACAGGGATTCCACTAAACTCAAAATAGTGAAATTTAAGTTAAACATAAATGCAACCAAGTGTTCCAAACATTACGGTGATTCAAAAAGGGGTTCATGAAGGATGTTTTGATTTTGCTTTCAGCAATCAACGCATAAAGCTGTTCTCACAATCAGGTTAATAGACCCACCAAAGCCACATAAAAATTGATTTTGCCGTACTCTTTTTCAGTTTTCAAATATCGCGCCCAGTTTTTAGTGCAGGTGCGAACGTAAATGGCGTTATCTTATTCGATTTAACAGTAGATTACTGATAGCATGGCTCCACAAAGCTAGCTCTGCGCAGTCCACAAGAATGAACCACGGAAAGATGCCGGACCCCTCATTGGGATCGACTAGATTAGTTAGTGGCGAGTTCTTCGTCGAGAACCACCACTGAATAAATGCACAAGACAAAACATGAGCCTCGACGTTTAACACTGAAAACATCCCGTGCGAAAATAGCCAATAAGCTATTGGATTACGCACTTGGTTGAAGAGATGTGCAAAGGATGCGCAGTGTGTTGTGATGTACATAACCTGTTTGTGCCTCGTGTACATTGATTTTTGCGCCGCGGAGGCGAGGAGTAACAAGGAAAACGCTCAACTACAAAGATGTACAATTGTTTCGATTTGTAGGAAATCTGAATTTCAAGGAAAAGAGCCTCAATCTTCTTCAATTTCTTGCCAACTTAAAAACCCGTTTGACATAATTCGCTTTGAGGGAAGCTTTCAGTATTTTTTCGAAGCAAGTTAATCCAACAATAGAGAAATAAAGGCTGATAGTTTCGAAAGAAACTGTTTGGGGCTGCGTCGGTGGGAGTAACGAAATAATTTGGATATATCAACAAAGTTGAAATGGTAAATTGGCCACCGTAATGATTACAAAAGCTGACGTTTCGAGCGTTAGCCCTTCGTCGGAGCGAATAGAGGAATTGTGGGTTGTGTGTGCTTTTAAAGGCAGAAAATGGAGCTACGTTATTGGTGGGTGCATGGCAACGAGAAAAACATGAATAAATTAGTGGAATGAAAAGCGTTCATTGATCCCTGTGGGATTTAGACTGCCGGTTTGAAAGATGAGCTTTTGTTCAAGATTTTTACGGCTTTCCGTGCCACCTAAGTGCAAGGAAAGACCGCAGATTGCCATA